TAAATTAATATATATATATATATATATATGTATATATATAAATAAATGTATATATATAATATAGAATAATATATATATATATATATACCATATTGAACTTATGAAGTTCATGGTTTTAAATTGAGTAGGTTTTCGAGCGCTCAAATCTGAGAAACCAAACGCAGACACACACATACACACACAAACCAAATATATCCAAGAGCGCTGCTGATTTCTGGCTCTCGATGCAACGAGGACAAAGGCTATATTTGGAAAGCTTGTTACGCATGAATTCCCAGACCCGCGAATCTTCATAAACCGTGTCTCGACGACATTGACTTTTGCCCATATATGAATTAGGAATTGTACATGTTGCAACAATTTCGTCTGAGTTCATCGATTCCTAGACTTCAACACTCGATGGGACTTATGTTTTTTTAATTCTTTCCCAGAATATCACGTTTAACTTTTCTCAGTAAACTCGAGCAAAATGTAGACCTGCAGCCTCAATAAGTATCCCAAATTAGCTCTTATTATTCTAACTATTAGCCTGTAAATTTGGAGTTCGCTAAGTAATGTACTCATAATCGAAGACATAAGTGCACATACAAGCTGCAGACAGTAGACATAAGCAACGACTATAAAAGTGGATATAATTTTCATTACAAATATACAACCTTATTTATAGGTCCTCATTGCGGGTTGCTACCCGTAGGTGGGCCTGTGCGCGATATCTCCACCAGTGGGTTGCGCTGGAATCTGAACCATGACGCGATGAGCATATGTGGGCTAATTAGCAGCTCCAATAAGTTTGAGAAGCGGTAAGTTTGCGTGCTTGTGCTAGTAGAGTGTTTCGTTCTTATTGTTTTCCTTGCAGATAGATAAACACACGGATACGTTTTATGCACCTCTAGAAATGTGAAAACCGATTATATGTATGTATATACTTGACGGCGACACTCTAGGACATATCCCTTCTTCTGACTTTATTACTGTGTATTTATATTTGTGTCGGATTCCACCGATTGGATTGTGGGCTATATTTAGCCTTCCTGTAAAGAAGTTACTATCAAATGCTGTTAAATGATCCACAAACCTAAAAGGTAGATTGCACATTTTCTCCCTGGCACTCCACAGGGAGGGAGAAGAAGATGCGATCTCCGTCACCATCACAATCGATACATCGGATCCGGTGATTTGGACATCTGAAATCGATCTGCTAGCCATACACAATAGCTGAATAGTTGACGTAGGTTCCACGAGGGACGATTCACATTAATTTAGTTGATTGTTTCGAACTTTCATTCTAACGGCAATGCACTGTAATCGATTGATTTTCTTCGTGGTAAATTTAGCATTAGGTAAGCCTCTGCATCGATTCTCGGGAGTACCAAAGGTAGTCGCTGATTACATTCATTAATTTATTAGGTACTGTGGTCCGATCAAAGTTCCTACACACGATCCGCCTTAGTTTACCAGACTGTATATCTGATTCAAAACTACACAATAGCAGTTGCATTCAACACAGTACACGATATATGTACGATAATGATAAGAGTAGTGAGGTGCCAATGAGAATACATAATTTTTTACCTACAAATACTCTGCACATGCATGAAGGCGGTGTCAGAATGTTCTGATTCTCAATGGAAATCCAGGCCATAGGAATCTTTAGAGACATCTCTCTAGAGACTCTAGTAGAAAGTCTCTCTCGATCTGAATCTTCAATCTAGAGGCCTTCAGCACTCAGGCTCTTTTTATCTGTTTTTTTTGTTTAAAAAAACGAGTGTTGTGTCAGTCGCCAAATCTTCAGCCTCTAAAGAGCCGATATCGTAAAGACGTCATTGAAAGGAATTTATAGTTCATGACGCGCACTATGTTTTGTTTCAAAAAATATCAAAAGCAATAAAAATATATCTCGACAAGAAACAAAAAGTACCACCTGTAAGCCCGTAACTCAGTCTACAGGCTAACTGTAGTGACTAGATACAGGATTCGAGCTTATATTTCCGCGTATGAAAGTTGAAGTACAATTCATAGTATCGAGCGATCACAGTTGCATCCAATTTTTGCCCAAACCTACGCCCCCCAACACTTTGTGAGGTGAAAAAGCTTCATAGATAGAATAGTATTGTCATGCAACATGTAAAACAACCACATATAGACAGATAATTGTACGAATTGTGATGATGATCAGTTCTACCTCAAGACATTGAACCCATGGTGTATACAAAGTAGGCTGATAGTTCTAATTGCTGCGTAATTGGCGAATATTTATGCTCAACGGTTATATTTCATTTCCGCTGTGTACGGCAATGTATGTTTAACGCGAGTACTATATTATATGTATAAATTGAGGCAACTGCTATCGTGCATCTCAGTCTGTCAGGACCAATTAACCAGACTTGTAGATAGCAAATGCAATACTTGCTAGATAATCTGTTGATGCTGTTTATCATATATTTGAAAGTGTGTACTATTTTACATACATCGTACAATTTTCAATGGTAAATTCACGATATACATTGTACTGAATCGAAAAGATATTAATTGTGGGGCGTATAGTAATTTTCTGTGGTAAACGTATCTTATTTATATATTGGTAGAGTCTTTTGAATCTTCAATATCTGAATACAATCGATTTAGTAACTGTGCTTTATCTCCTTCTTCTCGCAGCACGTCTTCTTGTCACACTTGGGCAAGGAAGAACCACAGTAGTCGTTGTCGCAACACTTCTGATTCTTATCCAGTTTATATTTGTAGTGGCACTTGATGTCCGCGTTCTTGCACTTAGTTGGGGGTTCTACTTTCTTCTCGCAACAGGTTTCCTGGTCGCACTTCGGTACCTAATCCTCACAGTAAGCACTGTTACAACATTTCTCATTCTTTTGCAGCTCGTAGCCGTACTCGCAGTCAACATTGGAATTCTTGCATTTGACGGGTGGGTCGATTTTCTTCTCACAGCAAATCTCTTTTTTACATTTAGGTACCCAATCCTCACAATAGTCACTGTTACAACACTTCTCATTCTTTCGCAGCTCGTAGCCGTACTCGCAGTCAACATCAGAGTTCTTGCATTTGACGGGTGGGTCGATTTTTCTTCTTCTCGCAGCAAGTCTCTTCGTTACATTTAGGCACCCAATCTTCGCAGTAATCTCCATCGCAGCACTTCTCGTGCTTGCGCAGCTTGGTACCGTAATCGCACTCCACATCAGCCTTCCCACACTTGATGGGCGCTTCTGGTTTGTATACGTCCTTACACTTGGTCCACTTGGAGCTATGACAGTAGCACTCCTTATTGTCCCCTTTGTACCATTCCCCATGCTTTGTCCATACGCCCTTGTACTCACACGATTTTAGAACCCGGTAGCCACTGCTAGCCTCAACAGATGTACTCACCGCCGCGAGTACAAGAACGGCAAGAAAGCTCACAGATTTAGATACGACAAGCATATTGAGAGTATGTGTTGGGTATGAGGACTGTTGATAATATAATGTGGTATTCCTTGTCAGTCCCTTTTTATATTCCGGATTGTAAATTTATGTATTGAGGATATCAGATATTTATGAGATATTTATTCGATGGCGATATCGCACGGCACAATTTTATAAATATCTGAACCAGTAAACATGGACTAATTGTAGCTGTGTCATGTACATATCGGTCATGACAACCTAAATTCATCAGTTATTGTCGATATAATCAAACCATCGAGGTTACACTATTATCAGCAGAAGTTCGAACAATCCCGATGATTACCCTGTTTACTTTGAAAATATTTTTTTTAGCAAGAAATCGCTCTCCAGTAGCGCCGCTTGATGACCGCTTACCTCTACTATCAGTACTACAAAGGAATATGATTCCTCTGGAGTCCTTGTTTTCTCAGTACTTGCTGAAAGTTGGCAATATGTCAAATATAGAAATCAACATCAGGGGCACTAAAAGAATCTGCATTTATACCTCCTGTTGACTGCTCGAAATTTGTGCCTGCAAAGGAAGAAAAAGAACTGTGGGTACACACTCTGGCTCCGGAAAGGTCCTGTCCATCTCCAAATTCATATATATACATAGGTGCAGTTGTCATGCTCGCACGCATGAGTCTCATGTACTAGCGCTGACCTGACACGTGCATGTACATGTGCACGAACACGCACACAAGTCGAATAAATCCGCATCGCGCGAGCAGGCAGGTAATTCTCGAATGTCTGATGTATGCACAATGCACGCGTGCAATGACTTTGGATAGTTGAAAATTAGTAACGCAATTGAATATACCGTCTGTGACTCTATGATATATCTGGAGGAGTAATGGCTTCACATATACACGATCTACTGATATGTTTGGTGTTTCTAACATAATTATCTGGCGCGGGAGGATCTATAGTCAACTAGCTAAGACATGCTATCTACGCACACGTATAGGAACAATATGACTAAATCCTTCCTTCTTTGGATTTATAACACGACTATCAAGTGCGACAATACCCATAGACACCATTCGAAGGCTTTAAAGTTATACCTTGTGTTGATCGCGCACGTCTTCTATGTATTTCTTCAAACCGTTATGACACGTCGAGGCAAGCTGTGCGTATTGTCGACAGAATCTAATAGTACAATATAGATTATGATAACACAGTCAGAGAAGGTGTGAATCATGGTATTATAGTCAGAGAAGGTGATAGTACAATATAAATAATGGTAATATAGATAGAGAAGGTGATAGTACAATATGAATTATGGTATTATAATCAAAGAATTGCACAACAGGAGTCTGTGGCATGATTTGGGTTGATTTTACGATTTGTTTTGCATACACCCCATGGTCAGTGCTTTCTTGAGATGAAGTTCCGCTGTTCTGTGATAAAATATAGCCACAGTGCGTATACCTTATGCACACCAATCGTGGAAATTGTTGGCAGGAACTTTTATATATACATACGTATATATATATATATATATATATATATAAATAAGATATAGATATAGATATAGATATAGATATAGATATATGTCACAAGATGCAAATAGGTAAATCGAGTTCATAGCTCTTTTTCATATCCAGCGTTATCATAAAGTGACAGCCAATGTTTCACACCCATCTCATGCCATCAGGAGGCCGTCTATAAGTCACTGCTCTAAAGCCATCACGTGAAAGATGTCCATACAAAACACATCTGCACGATGCATGTGTACGCGTGTTCATGCGCTATCATATATGGTGAAAACACCCACACATCCTATGGGGTTTACCCATCGGAGCCTCCTAACAGATCAAGTAGCTCCAACACTTGACTGTCTGTGCACAACCTTACTCCGTGCCCGCGAGCGGCACGCTGCTCGGCATTGCGGTAAGACAGTACACAGCAAATATTTGTATACCACAATCAACCCAGATAACCGAAACACTCAAAGAGACATATATAACCCACCCACCACACACTCATACATACATACAAACATACACATATATGTGGCTATGCACGTGCACATGCATGTGAGCACCTACTTGGGAGTGAATCGATCGAAGACGCCCAACATATCCAATGTCACCAACACTTGACCGCTTGTGTGTGGACCTGCCCCTATGCCAATGGTAGGTATACTGATCTGCTTAGTGATGTACTCGGCGATGGGCGATGGTACAGCCTCGATAACTATAGCGAAGCAACCGGCCTTTTGAAGGGCCAACGCGTCTTTGACCAGTTGCTGAGCCTGGACACAATGGTATAGTATGAACTTAGTTGACTCTTCTATAGCGAAGAGACCGGTCTTTTGTAGGGCTAACGCGTCTTTGTCTTTGCCCAGTTGTCGAGCATGAGTGGTTGAGAACAATTAGGTACAAAGTAGATACGGGGGTTAGAAGTCAGTCACAACAAAATAAATAAATATACATTCGATATTTCGGTACTATAGCTATAATCCCCGTAGTAAAGCCTTAGCACTGTTTAAATTAGTCAGCAATTACATGACTATATTGTGCACCTCCAATTTGGCATTACTTTCCCTATACTCAGTTAGCTAATGAAGACATTGAAATACATAACATGTACAATCAGTAGGGGAACATTTGCATAAAATTTCGGGTGAACAATCTAATTTGACAAGGGTTGCTTTAAATACGCAGGCAAATCAATTTACATAGTAGCCCAGTGCCTGTTGTCGTTTGAATAAATAGAAATACTCACTCAACTCATAGGTAGGTATACATAACTACGTAAATCTGACGCTAATACATCTAGATAAGGAGTCATATATCCAAACATCTCCAAAAAAATAAACTCACATCTAAATCGCTTCATAGACACACTTTCTACCTACCATATATATCTATATATATATATACCTACCGAGTCGGCAGTCTTGCCTTGCACCTTAAAGCCGCCCAGGACATTGACACTCTGTGGAGTCAATCCAATGTGTCCCAACACCGGCACACCACAGCCTACTACCTGAAAGCACGGGTAATGGTGGACAAGAGATGGGATTAACGAATAGTATATATATACACATATATATATATACCAGAGGCAGCGTAACATTTATTATAGTAAGTCTGCTTATCGATCACTGCGCATTGGTCTATGTTCTTAGACAGGCACTACACAGGCCACCACCAAACGGTAAGAGTTTACGTACATGCGACAGTCGAAGTACGTATACGAAAATATACTATATATTCTCCCACAATATTACTCTACAAAGTCAAACACAAACTCGGTTCGGCGCAACGCAGGCCTACCGTACGTAGGCATGAACTTTTGGTATATCTATCGGCCATAGTATGTTTGCGATTTTACTGAGTTCGTTTATGTGTGATGTATTTGCCTATCGAAAGCCTATACATGTCCCAGTACACGCAACTTTGACTCAACTGGCCTTCGTTGTGAATGTATAGATGTATCTATCGACTTCTGTATACTTCTCTATACCCTATTCATGGCCATACAAATACCAATACGTGCACATTGTACGCAAACACACACATCTCATTAAATACCTTTTCAATAGCGGGACCCATATGTTCCCCGCCCTCTAACTTCACCGCCTGCACATTGGCTTCTTTTATAAATCGGATTGCGTTTCGGGCGGCATCCTCCGGACTGGCCTAACAACAAAAAGTATTCTGCAAATTATATTTCCAATTTTGTGTTTCATAATCCAATTCTCACACCAAATCTCCACGGCTCGCCAGGCAAAGTCGGGACAACTCTTGTGATACATAGGCATTAACAGCTCGCTCCAAAGTGCAGCGCTTTACAACCGCGTGTACACCACACCACGGTAAATCTAAAGACAGTGTAGTGTCCTTCTCAAATGTCATCTACACTGCAAATCGTCGGGACACCAAACGTCTATTGTGATGGGCTAGAGCATCACTAGCACAATGATCGCTATAGGATTGGTTAGGCTTCAACGCCAGTTCGCAGGGCATCAGAAAGCTCACAAGACTGGACAAGAGCTAAGGGAACGCGCTTATACGAAGGTGTATATTCCTATGGCGCCTAACTACATACAACCCAATATTCACAGAGGGACATGTGCATGTATATAAGTATTAGTTGACATCTACAGTACTGTACACATATTGGAAATTGCATTCCATTTGAGACGATGGCCATCTGAATCGGATCTCAGAAGACCTGAACTTCATATTCACAAACAGACACACATACATCGCAACTATTGTATATGTATATTCGAATATTTGCCTCTGAAATTATATGTGTAGGTTATATCAGTACCTGGTAGCTGCCGAATGGCATATCTCCCACCAGAAACGAGCGCTTCGTCCCGCGAGACACTGCCCTTGAGTGATGGAACATCTCCTGGAAGGATAGAGGGAACGATACAAATGGTGTAATTATAATACATAACTGTCGAGCACAAGTAAATGACACAGGTTGTATATGTACATGGATACTTCCATGCTGCATGATTCGGGACAAGGTTCTGGTAATATGGATCTCCTGGAAGGATAGAGGGAACGATGCAAATGGTAAATTATAATATATAACTGTCGAGCACAAGTAAATGACACAGGTTGCATATGTACATGGATACTTCCATGCTGTATCTGCAAATGGTTTAATTATAATACATAACTGTCGAGCACAAGTAAATGACACAGGTTGTATATGTACATGGATACTTCCATGCTGTATCTGCAAATGGTTTAATTATAATACATAACTGTCGAACACAAGTAAATGACACAGGTTGTATATGTACATGTTTCCATGCTGTATCTGCGAATGGTTTAATTATAATACAGAACTGTCAAGCACAAGTAAAAGACACAGGTTGTACATGTACATGGATACTCCTATACTGCATGATTGGGGAAGCTGCCCTGGTACGATGGAGCAACTTCTGGGAGCTGGTTACGCGTGGTGCCGAGTAGAAACAAAAACTGTAGTGAAATTATACAGCTTGCCACAAACCCACCTCTAAGGTGATCTCGGTCGTGGACTCATAGCCCAGTGCAACCATCGCCAGCGAATCGCCTACCAGTATCATATCTATATCATTCTGTATATGGCAGCAGTAGTTGAAGATACACAGAGGTTGATCAACTAGCCACAAAGAAAAACCTCGTTAACCAATCAGCCACGAGGAAAACCCTCGTTAATCAATTAGCCACGAGGAAAAACCTCGTTGATCGAGTAGCCACGCAGAAAGCTCACGTAGCTCACTGCAATGAATAGGATCCTCCGACATGTATAGTTCTACCTATCCCGCATGACAATAGCATAACCCCACTAGGCTTACATAGGTGATACTCTGTATGCAAACGAACCCGCAGTACCGTTCCGCGTATACGCTAGACAATGCATGCTCGTGCGCTTAATTTGCGACGCGCAATTTGCGACGCAGATGCAGACGGTAGTAACACACAGCGCACATGAAACCAAAGCCCCACACCTTCCATTTGCACACAAAAATCGTATGAACCGTGAACTCTAAATCCCTCTCACACACAGCCATGGACATAAAGCTCAGCTACTGCAGGTATTCGATTTGGCGTAAAAATTTGGATCATTGCATGCACTCTAATTTGCAATCACATTAGGCATGTAGGTACAAAATTGGGTATATACACACACACACATGTGGAACAAGCACGGGTGGACATATACGTGAGGAGTGTGGTATAGTAAGAACTGGAGATTTCAATGTACCAAATGCAAACTCGTACATACACCTATGTAAAATGCACTGTTTTGTGTTGGTGCCACTGCCGCATCTGTCAGTCAAGTGAAGTCATAATTGAGCGCACCAACTCCCCGAGTATTCACTACATATGGTGATCGATATGAATTCGATTTCTTCATTTACGATTCATATACGCCCAATAGAACGCACGGAAAATGACTGGATGTACCAAGGCGTGGGTTTAATTTGTAAACTAATTTCAGAAGCATATAAAAGGTTCTAATTCAATGTACAAACACAATAATATCTAAAGAACGTGTTGAAGTTGTTAACCGATTTCAGAGGAAAAAAGTTCTCAACCTACTACAGAGCTTGTATATATATATATATATATATATATATATATATATATATATATATATATATATATATATATATATATATATATATATATA